GGGGGGGAGTCGTCGTTTCGAACGCACCGTGTTTCCCGTCAGGAACGTGGCAGCATCTGCGGGCCCGTTTCCGTTGTTCCGCTCAGAGAACCCGGGTCCGAAGCCAACCCCCCCCACCCCAACCGCGATCATGCAGGACGCTGCAGGTCTTAGTGATCGCGTTTGCTCATTAAGGAGGCCTACGTACAAAGGCGATTGGCTGTTTTTGATTATATATTACCGGCAAATAAAAGGTTATTAAGGCCAGTAACATAATGGGTTGGCAGGGCAGAAATGTCTTGATTAAATCAGGGTGCTGGGGGGTGATGGGGAGGGGGAAGTAACTCGCTAGAGACAAGCCTAATTACACGCCATCCTTCTATCTGAACCCCAGCATCTGCCATGGCCGCTGCTTCATTGTCTATAGCCTTTCAATCAAGAATAGACCACCACAGCCAAAGATGTGTTTTAATTAGAGAGCCAGTCAGTAATTACATTTATGTTATAATAATGACTTAGACACAGTACTCTGGTTTATGTCTTTCATTGTTCAGTACAATGATTATAATATTTAATTATGATGTTTGAACACTGCTGATTTAGTTTGTGTGTTTTTTTTTTTTGAGCAAATCCCCCCACCCCGATTCACACGTGCCGTCAGCGCGAGACACGTCCAGCACGCGCTTGCAGATAAAGGCCGGATGCTAACGTGTTTTTTTTTTTATGGTTAGGGTTGTTGTTTTTTCCTGCCCTAGAGAGGAACACGCTATGTTGCTGTCTCGGGTGGCACTGTTGCATCGTAGGTCAAGGTGACCCTGCCCCCCCCATCCAATGTCATTCCTCCTGCAGCAAATACTCAAAGAGCCATCTTGCAGTGTCGGACCCGTAAGCCACGTGTTAATTACCGTGACTCTCAGGCTCTCACGCCGGCCGATAGACAGGGCCGGGGGCATCGAATTCCTGGCACACCATGCCCGTTCGATTTGGAGGCTGCCTCGTCTTCTAGACACAACAGGAAGCAAACTGGCACAGCTCTTGGAGAAGCTGGTTAGGGCGCCACCTAACAGAAGTGACAGAGAACTGTGGTTTTTAATTCACTGGTAATACTGTGACTAAGGTCACCCCTCTAATTTTTTTCCCTCCTAAAAAAAAAACGTTTATATTAAGTGAGACATCGGGCACCTTGTTTTTTTCAGCGAGGGGTTAGCCTGTGTTCACGGCCTTTCTCTGGCCTCCAGTTTTCAGCAGTGCATTTCTACATCAGAGTTTGAATTCACAGTGCCGGAATAGGCGACAGGGGGCGCCAGTGAGACACTTAGAAATCGGCGGGTTGAAATATGCAAGCGTTCATTCGGTCACGCTCAATTACAGGGAAAATTTAGCACCGCTTTAATTTTCTTTAAGAGGCCAACCAGTACCAAAATTGTTTGGAGGGGGGTCGTTCTTCCCCCCTCTCTTCTCCACATTATCGTCCCTGTTCTCTGGTCCTTATGACCGCTCTTTGTAGTAGACACTGCCCCCGTCTATAGCCCAAATCCACCCCCCCCCCTGGGTTTATGACATTCCTGTGCATATTGAGATGTCAGGCTGAGTAGCTTAAATGGACTTCTAAGGGTGAGATCGCTCAATGGTTCCCACGCTAAATTACTTAGTATCCTTCCCAGAATCCTCTGCCAGGTGTCCGCGCGCGACGGGCCGGCGTGCACGTCCAAAACGGGCAACACCGCATCGGCCCGTAGCCGCCTCGTCCCGGGGACAGCCTCCCACACCAGCGTTAGGAAAACGAGAGATTTGTCCGTCGCACGCAATTGGTTTTCAAAATGTAAAATGAAAGTGGGGTGGGGGTCTGATAAGTCAATTAGGAGGGGAGACAACATCACGGAGACTCTGATGATGGGGGCCGTTTATAGCCGGCTTAATTAGACCGGAGGGGGTCTGCTTTGTGCTGTACCCCCCACCCCTTCCTGCTGCGCAGTGTCCGTGGATGGCGGGGCCCCAGTGTCCTGGGGGGGGGGGGGGGGGGGGGGGTTCTGTTGCGGAAAGGTCAGCAGGAATGGCGGTGGCTCGTTAGACCTGCCTTTACATTTCAGCCAATTAAAGGTAATTGTCGCGCCCCCCCCCCCCCCCCCCCCAACCCCCCCACAGGCTTCCCGGCAACGGCGTATGGACCTGTGGCAGCAGCGGCGGTGGCAGCAGCGCGTGGCTCAGGTAAGGCGCCCCCTGGTGGAAAAGGCTCACCTGTGCCACCCCACCCTCACCGGCCTGTCTCTGCCGCATCCTTCCCTCACACTGCAGACACTTGGCATGGGTGGGGTCTCTTTGTGCCCCCCCCCCCATCAGCATCACCACAGCTGTATAACAGCACCCCCCTCCCTGATTGAGTGGGCTGTTAGTATTGGACACCTTGCTCTGACGAGATTTTCATTTCTCATGTGGTCTGCCTTCCCTGACCATGTGACATGTGTCCCCTTTAAGTCTCTGGCTCTTTATTTAGCGGTTAGACCATCTAATGAACCCATGTGACCTTGTACTAATTGCTAGATACAGTAAAGAACACGAGGCCCATCTCTGATGAGCCGCAGTAGGGAAGCTGAACCCTAGAGGGCAGTATGGAGCTCCCTGCAGACATTTTGAATCCTGTTGAGAATGGTTTGGATCTGGGCATGGAGGTACTGACAATGTACGGGGGGGGGGGGGCTTGTCGACCAACGAGGCAGGTTCCTGTCAGACCAACATGAGAAGTCAAAATCTGACACTGCACTTAATGTTGTTGTCTAGGGTGCTGGGCCTGGGGGGGTGGGTGGGTGGGGCCGGGGGCTGTGGGTCTCCCTCACCGCCCAGAGCAGCTCGCCCCCCTCTCTCTCTCTCTCTCATGAATGATCCGCTCAGGCCTTGGCCGCGTGCGGGAGTCAGTCTGCCCAGGAAGATATTTGACATTTGAAGCTGACCTTTCCGGCAGATTTCATCATCCGCTGCTCCTCCGCTAAAGCGTGACAGATACGTTTTTGTGCATCTGATTAAGGCCGTGTTTACGCGGCTGCCCGGGGGGGGGTGGAGGGGGCGTCGATTTCGGTGAGCGCCTGCGGCGCCAAGGGCAGCCCAAGGTGGCGGCGACGCCGGCAGGGGGCCCCCCAGGTTTTTCCCCCCCCCCCCCCCGGGCAGCCGCGAGCTTAATGTCACCCAGCGGAGAGGCACCCCGCTCTCTGTCTGTTCTGCTGTGACGGACGCCATATTTCTCCCCCCCTCCTCCTAGTGCCGGTCAGCGGGCCCCTGGGGGCCCCTCCCATGCTGCACTTCCCCTGCTTCGCACCCGAGCGCTATGGCTCCAGGGGTTATTTTCAGCTCCTTAAGGAGCGTGCTGTTTACTGCGTATTTATAACACTTTTCCAAAGCGCTGCTTAAAGAACCAACAATAACCGAGGTTTTATATTTAAAAAAAAATATAAAAAATCTCATTTTTAAGGGAAAAAAATTCTAAACACCAAGTAACTTTTTTTTTTTTAACCCCCCAAGTACTTGAATGTATCATTCATGAGTCAGAGTGATGCTGCATTTTTTTTTTTTTAATACTCCTTTAATATCTTCCGGTGGGTGGGGGGTGCAGTTGGGATTTGGGTGTCCATTATAGCCGTCGTAAACTTGTGATTCCAGTTGTGTGGCAAATGGGTGGCGCTTGTATATCGTCCAATCGCAAATGGCTTGCTAGTGTGACACTCCCGACTGGACGGCGTGCTTAAGTGACGGCTGGGTTGCCAATCGCACGCAACCCGGCGGGAACTTAAATTTGTCGAGAGCTTTTTGCCGTGCCCACAGCTTCTTTCCTCTTCAGTCAGACTCGTTGAAGAGTAACTGTTATTTTTAGTAATTGTTTTGTCAAACAGAAATAAGAAAATCTAAATATTAAAAAAGAATGTGACGTATTTCATGTCCAGTACACATTCCATGCAAACTGGCACTGCCTGCTTCTAGAACTTCGTGGTCCTACTATGAGACATCAAGGGCTGATTGGCTAGTACCTTTGTGGTGGATCCCTGCCTGACCCCCCCCCCCCCACCAAGCACATAAGGATGTCAGTTCCTCATCTCTCAGATAAAACATTTCCCTCAGCCATTTCTTAGGGCCTACTGAAAATCCTACTTTAATCATTGATTGTGTTGGGGTGGGGTCCTTCCAGAACAGGGATCTGATTAGAGCTCGCTCGCTCCACTTCCACCCCCCTCTCGCCTCCCGCCACCCACCCAGAAACGTCAGCGCGGTGCTAACGCGGCCGCCCGCTTAGGGACGAGCCCGTCCGCTGCCGGTTCCCCGCCTAGTCCTCCTCTGGCGTGCGGCAGAGTGTCTCTCCGTAAATTGCTCCCTCTCACTCGTCCTCCTGAATAATCAGCGGCTTTCGGAGCCATTATACCAGCCCACCCCGCACCAAAGGCCTGATGTTACTCTGATCCACTATCCAGCTATGAAACTTTGCCATTAGAACTTTTTGTCTGACCTTTTCACTTTTCCCTGTGTTTGTGTTTTTTTTTTATTTTTTCATTTCGATGTACATTATTCTACCTGTTGTTTTCTGGCTGGAGGGTGTAAGAATGTGCATGTACGTCTGGTTTTCTTTCTTTCTTTTTTTTCTTTTAGAAAAGTTAGCGTAGGCTACGCTGAGCCAATTCTGCATGTATTCCGGGATGAACTAGTTAACTAAACCTGGTTGATAGAGGACAGTATAGCGAGTTATACCGAGTTATACCCGTCAGGCCGCTAAGAGCCGAGTTGACGGCGAGCCGGAAATGTCTGGAATCTTAAGGGCAGACGCCGTGTCCGTAAGCTGCCGGCGGATGCAGCATCCGAAAGGGAGAGAGATGAGCAGTGAGGTGTACCAGCTCCGTGGTGAGGTGGTAGATTGAAGCGTGCCTGGACCTGTGGCTGTACAGAGAGGGATAGGAGTGGGGGGGTCTGACAGGCACGTGTGTTTCTCTGTGTGAGTCCAGTTTGCTTCCTGGCCTGCGAGTGTGAGCAGTCTGTGTGTGTGTGTGTCTGTGTGTGTCTGTGTGTTTGTGTGTGTGGTCCACCTTGCCTCTTGGCCTGTCACAGTGAGTGTGAGCAGCGAGTGTGTGTGTATGTGTGTGTGTGTGCGTGTGTACGTGCGTGTGGTCCGCCTTGCCTCCTGGCCTGTGACGGTGAGTGTGAGCAGTCATATCTCTTGTCTCTCTCTTGCTTGGTTCGGCCCGCTGAGACGGACTGTCTCTGACGGAGTCTGACACACGCCCTCGCTCACACACTCTTCTGAGCGCACGCTGCCGGAAGGTTTGTCCGCAACCCTTTAATCCTCTCTCACCCCTCGCACCCCC